AAAGGTAATTTCTCTGAGAAACATGGTTAAAGGCATTTTTTAAAAGTGGGTTTCGCAAAATCCTGAGGGAAATTTCGGAAATTTTGTAGATTTTTCCGTAACAGTGTCGGCAGTTGCACCTACCCCTTCCATTCGACGCCATCAAGCAATGTACCTATTTGGGATTATGGAGAGCAAGTTGAGGAATTATGTCAAGTGGAATTAGCAACAATTTGATTCAACGCCTCAACCACAGGACTTTCAGGTAAGTCGTCGCAATTTCCAAATCGCCTACTACCCCAGGATCGTAACTGACTTCTCTCCCCCAGGTACCCCTATTTGTTACTGTCTTGCAGGTACCCAGTTGACTTCGCGACATCTTATCATGCCCACTTTCGAGTCTAGATTCGCCGCGTTTTTTCTGCCTAAACGGGGGAGGGGGGAGTAAAAATATCAGTCATACCCGCGAAACCCGTGAGAGCCCAGCAAAACACTCGTATAGCGCCAACCAACTGCCACAACCCATTCTTTGTTTGATTTTATGGGTGAACATTATCGTCAGCCTTTGGTGGTCCATATCATGAATTTCAAAGTATAAAAAATCCTACATGATTTCCTAAAAGAGCCTCGAAACTAGTCGCCCAACGTTCGGCGTACGCTCTCGGGAGAAGTTTCTCCAAGAAGTTTAGGTAAAGCTCGGATCGACGAAAGCGAGGAAACTGATCGTTTTCCAGAAGACGTTTCACCTGAAAATATATTCTAGAGTTGGTGAGCTATAACTTGACCATACCCATTGAGGTTGCGTTCACAACCTGAAGGGGGTTAGAAGAATACGCAATAATTAAAAAGATATGTATTGGATGGGAGATTAGGAGATTACGAGGTTAGGGGAAAAGCAACAATTCCAGATTGAATTCGTGGGGTATAAGCGGTCGACAATGAAAGTGAATAAAAGTGTGGATACGAGTTGACCGCAAGGATAAAATTAGCATGGAAAATCGCTGATGAAGCTTTAAAGTAAGAACTCCCTCTGTCCCTCTCGAAATAAGGAGGGGGCGGGTCGGACGAGTTGTGCGATTGCTTGTCAAGAACCTGTTATTACTGAAGACCTGCAACTGATTTCCATTGTTAGGAAGAAACATATAGCTTCCAAACATTACAGTTTCTGAGACAAAAAAACGGCGCACGTTTGGTCAAGAAGCATTCAGAATTCCAGCGCAGGCGGGAGCATCAAATTGAACGGTTTGAAGGACCGAGTTCAAATAGGCCTGTAGCTCGAAACGATCGCACATGTCTACGCAGCCAAACGCGCGATTCGACGACTAGCAAGTGGGCGGAAAACGAATAGGAGGAAAAAAGGCGTTGGCACATGTTCAAGTCCCCCTAACCGCTTTCCCAGGTGAATTTCTTGCCCAGAGACACCCTACGTTCTTGACTAGGGCTTACGCATCTTTTTCAGCACCGATTATGTTGCAAGCACAGACCAGGGTCAAGCGAGGCGTCGAGGAAAATTCGGAAATACGACCCCCCCCCTCCCTCTGCCGAAGGCCGAAGTCCATGAAACAACCCTCTTTAAAAGCCGAACTATGAAAAAGTTGTTTAATTCTCCACCAAAACTGCTCATAAAAAAGCCCTGCTACCCCATCGTCCACAAAAAACTCGTTTAAAAAGTATAAAAGTGAAAAAGTCAAAGAATGATCATTAATGACGAGTCCTGTCAAACGAGCAAACGAGAAACGGAGCAAAAAACGTCAAACTAGTCACTAGAAATGGCGTACTATGACAACACCTCTTCTTTGTTTATTTCCTCCACAAGACTTACCAAATTCTAGTACTACACAGATTATGGTTCTCAATTTACACGTCCCCCTTTCGCTCAAAGGAAGCCTTGTAAAAGCCTTCGCCAGCTGTGTGTTGACTGGACTTTGGCGTTGACCGTGGAGCAGCTTATTTACTATTGAAATTTGAACAAATATTCAAATGATTATAACTTTCTTCAAAGTTAACGAATTTTCAATCTGAAAGCTGATTTGGGAGTTTTGTGAAGAGCTTTTTCTAATCAGTACTGAAATTACAGGAAGTTATAAGAAATAACAAATTTAGATCAAATAACGAGGAAAATTCGAGACGAGCACGAGTTTTTACACTTTCCGGAGCAATAACTTGCTTCATTTCCGTCAAATTCAAAAAGTTGATACGTCATACAAAACTAGAAGATTTTCTCTATCAAACGGTCGCTAAAGCAGCTTCATACGTCCAGTACTCAAAAAATGGCCACGTTGAGGATTTTGCAAAATTAACGAGGAAAATTTGTGATGAGTGCGAGTTTTTTACTTCCTAAAGCCATAACTCCGTTCAAACTCATCCAATCCGAAAAGTAAATACGCCATCATAAACTAGAAGATTTGCTCTATCAAATGCTTACTAGAACTGCTCCAAACGTCCAGTATTAAAAAAACGGCTACGTTGAGGATTTTGCACGAGTACCGCCGAAAGGTACTTTTTCGCTACATTGGCACTATTTCAACGGCTGTATATCCTTTTAAGGGCGATTATGTACTAAAGTAAGAGCAGATTTGGAATCACTGCTTTTCTCTTTCTAAGAAAAGTGATTGATTAGCGTTTCTCAACTTTAAAGGTTACATGTTTATAAATTTAACCCTGAAGAGTCCGTTAACGCAATGTTGAATGGTGTACACCTCCCTGTAAATGCGCACGGACACTTTCAGAATTCTCTCGATTGTTCCTGAATTGAGGTTGTTTGTCCAAGGAGCCGTAGTTGAAGCGCGCGCAACAACTAGACCCTTTCTCGGATGCGCCGTGTACCTCACATCCCTTCAGATTCGGGGTCTTACTTGAAAGATGAATACAGGGTGCGCCAAAATTACGGAGACAGCGACTTCGAGTTGCCTAGGATGAGCAAGGTGCAATTCTTTGAAAACAAAAATGCAGTGACGTGCACAGTCCCATTCTGAATCGTCGACATCCATGCAATTTTTGAAAATCCTTGGTTTGTGTTTATACGGGTCCTCAGAAACATCGAGGAACCATCGACTGTGGCACGCAATGTGGCGAGTAGGACTCGTCAAGCTCATTTTAGAGCGGTTTCTTCAACGAATCCCTAGACATAATGTGTTTTATGCAAGCCTCAGCTTCTAGAACGGATCCGACAGCGTACCCTATCGAGCTCAGATCTGAAATGCTGTTCTACCACCGTTTAAGCCGACAAAGTCGAAAAAATCGGTTCTGCATCAATGCTGCACTAGTACTGAACCACCCTTGCCTCGTAAACGGGAGCTCCTACTTGATGGAAGGCCCAGCAACGATTTTCAAAGTGAAAATAAACTCAGGTTAGCAATGGGCTCTGATAAATCCAAAAGAGCCCCCCTGATTCCTATCTCTCGTGACATCCAGTGAAACCAGCGCGTCAACTACCTGCAAATTCTATCGCACACAATCCTTAGATTGTTCGTGGTCGCCACAGAAACACGCCCTTCTCATCCAGAATGACTGCATTCAGCTCCTTGTCCCCTGTACCACTTGGAGCATCTATTGATAGTGCTCGGGTATACACCAAAACGATGATAATTGTCGCGTGCCAAAAACCCTCAACGTCGAAGTCCAATGATTTAGGGACGGTGTCAGTATCAGTCAACCGCTGCAGCTACCATAGATTTTGGTGGTTGAACAAGGTAAGCATAAACAATTCTACACCACAGTACCAAAACTAGGACAGAAGAAAACAGCATCTGTGAATATCAGTTCAAATTGTTTGCTCATGCGTTGTCTCCGTAATTTTGGCGCACCCTGTATCTCTGGAAAGCGTGCGAAATTCAGATTCTTTAACTTGTGTGGTGATAAAACACTGAAGTAACTAAGAATTACCGGACGCCTCAGAATCACGAAAATTTTGTGTGGGTGAAATATCATTTTCATTGGAAATCCTCTGGCCTGGCATCGACTCATCCTTGATATTTGTCTTCCGACGGTGATGATCCCACTGCATCAAAATGGCTCGATCTCTTCCACCCAGCGGGCCAATACGACCCCCCCTGCGACGTGTCGAGGATTCCTCAACGCACGCTTGACCCTGGCTAGATCCTGCTGGGACTGTTCCTTTGGGCGGAAAAGACCAGAATGTGTCCGCGACTGGAGTCCGTGAGAATTGAGATGGGTAATATCAGGGGCGGATGAGCGTTTTTACGGCCTGGAGTATGTGGCTCATAAGCGGTTTTCAATCCAGTTTCTGGGGTCGTCGTCCCCGGAGGAGCTGGTGTAGGCGGCCATCCGTCTGCTTCTGATCGTGTTAGCGAAGTTTTTTGTGTTTTCATGTTCCGATTCTTTTCCCCTCTCTACTCGGCCCAATATTTCGTATCGTGCCGTAAGACTCTTATCCTTTCCCATGGCGTAAGGAGGTGGACCCTCATTTTAGCAACTTCGATATTTTCTTTTCCTTTTCTCTTCATTGTCGGCCCAATCCTCGCATCCTCCTTCTCATTTTAGTGGTATAACCATAAAATCTAGATCGGATTTGTGTCGTCAAAATATAGGTTGTGGTCAGTTCCGTCAATTTCACAGTGGTGAACTTGAAAAACTCAACAATTGTTCAATTTTCCTTCTTCCGTTTCATGGCTTTTAAAACTTTCCCACTCACCTGCAAAACAACTCATAACGCTTCGGCGAAGAATTTAGAAAGGAAAAGAGAAGAGCGCACTTGGGAACTCTTCAGCAGTGCTTTCCCACGCAATCATTTTACCGGGATAACAGCGGTCGATAATGGAAATATGGATGCCTAGCTGAATGAAAATGTGAAAAGAAACAAAGCGAACCGCCGCTAAAGACGTTACCAAGTACTTTTTCTCCTTCCCTACAAAATAAATAAGGGCGGGGCCGGGCGAGTTTTTAGAGCTTGCTCTATCCACGGTTTCACTAATCCGCGTCTACATATTTGAATTGCCGCCAACCTTGGCCACGCAGCCAGCCACGCGATCTCCACGGCTAGCGAATGGGCGTGTCGACCAAGAGGCAGGCGGGCCAAAATTGGTACCTATTCAACTCTTCATGAGCCTTTATAAGGTAAGTTTTTGCTCCAGTGACACTTCATATGTTCTTGATTAGCGCTCATGCATCTTTTCACTTTCACTCCATCGATAGCAAATGTGCGGACCCATCTGGGGTTGCTGCTTCAAACTAAGATGTAAGGATCGTCCTTTACGAGTGTACTAAATTGAATGGTCCCTATAAATTGCCGTTTTTAGTGCAACACCCTAATAAAAATGAAGGTAAATCGAACCAATACCTCTTTAACAGCAGGTGCGAATTCCTCCGGATCGAGGTTGTCGGATTCCACTGCATCTTTTATTTTCTACAAAAAGCAAGCTGTTAGAAATTTTATATGGTACTTTGCTAAAAAAAAAGTAGAGATGAACGTTTCAAATATGTAGTTGGCAAAAATATGAATTTATTGTTGATAAAAGTTTCAAAACTAAAAGGAAGAAGGATAGTAAAGAAACAAACCTTCATCGCACCACTGCTCAGATTAATATACGGCGAGTACAGTTGCACGATCTCTTTGGCGTATTGCTATAATAAAGTTGATTCAAGCGCAACTTAAGGCACAAATAATCTCAACGCCGGCCTTCATTTAGGCACGCTTGTCTTTTTGTCATGATTTTTCATGCTCTATTCACAGAGGGTATAAAATAAAACTTTTTCACTGCACCTTTTTCTCGTCGGTGTTTTTCATCTTTTTCAGTTTATCGACGGCTTCGACAAACGACAGATTTTCCTCGGCCAACGATTCATAGAGAAAACAGCGAAATAGTTGACATCCTGAAATATGCTAATTTTGTCGCAATTAAGCACCATGGTCAGTAAAATGCATACAATTAGTTGAAGCTTTAACTAATCTTCAATATGGCCTCTACTAATCTTTTGATCTAACAGCCTACTTTGGCCCTCTTTTCAGATCTGTATCTAAAAAGAGTTCCGCTTGCTCACGAAAAAAAACAGTGGGGAAAATGAAAGGATAGCTTCTATTCTCCTTCCGCAAATTGACATGAAATAAAGGCACAATTCGGGCGGAAATTCGGGTAAAACGATTCTTTTCGCGTCTGCAGATAAACCATTACGAACAGATACAGATTACAAATGTGGCATTGCCTACGGAAGTATCAATAAGAACGCTTTAGGTCTTGCAAAGACCGCTTCAACCGCTTCAGTTGTTCACGTTCGCAGCATGTTGCTGTCTGGCACCCTCTTATTCGCTGCCCTTTTTCGCACAGCCTCTCTTCATTGGGCTCAGTCTCTGTCTAGCAAAGAAGTGAAATTAACAACTTTGCTGTGTGCACTAAGTCATTTCCTGTATTTCTGGTTATGCCGTCTTTAGACCAGTGTATTTCTTCTTCATGTGCAAGAACTCTGTTAGGGGCATGTTCTGATAGCGTCAGGCTCGCCGGAACTAACATAGTGCTTGTCATCCTCAACGTAGCGCGACAACAGGTGCTAGCAACGGGCAAGCAATTCCTATTGTCACAGTAATTCGCACTCCTCTTTCCAAATCGCTTAGTACTACTTTCACAAGATTGTTAGCGATGAGGGGTATATACACGTCTGTGAGGCGTATAACCAGACAGAATTGCTAGATTTTTGAAACTCTACAGAGATTCCCGGGAGGCACTTGGGTTCATTGCTGTTACCCTGTAGCGCTTCGTATTCACTTCAAAAGCGCACTCACTCGCGAGTGCTCTCAGGAGAGTGGTGTGTTGTTTATCACGCGGTCTCCATAGAAATTAAAGGTCTTCTTATTCTTGCTTTGTTGGAGGAAGTACTGATTTCCCAATGAGGAGCGGTGTGGACTTCTTCTGGGCCCTGAGGGAGGGACGAGGTTGCTCGCTCTTCGGTGGGAAACCGGCTCATTTTGAGTGGATTAAAGCGCTTGCAAGATTTTGAGAAGTTGAAGAATTTTCTGGAAATCGGAGGGAAATTTTGAATTTCTCTCGCCCCCCCCCACCCCCCCCCCCCCAGTAGTTACCTAACTTCACCGCCTACGGCTCCCGCCTGCCTCTCATTTTTGAGATTTTGGAGGCCGAGTTTCCAAGTGTGCTAAGATGAGCCAGGTATACTGACATCATGAACTCCATGAGTCTTGTAGGGAGGATCATTCTGGTGCATCTACGTAAGGGAGGAGGGTGATAGGGATCGTCCTATATTAGGAAAGTTCATTTAAACATGAAGGTCGATCTTGTCTTCAAGAGGAATTTGCCTCGTACTGCACTCCCTCTTTTTTTGGCTTTTCTTTTGAGAACTTCCCAGTTTCTTCTGCAGTTCTGTCCTGCCTAGCTGCATCCAGCAATATAAAGCGAACACCTCAATTCTACCTACAACCAATAAACTCAATGTTCCCAACGATCAAAAATACAGTAACCAATCACCTTTTTCGTCTTTCAGAACAGCAGCACATGAGCCGGAAGCCCAACTGGCAGCTCTCGGATACTCAACTCCGGTCGGGTCGGGCATTGGAGGCGGTTGGCGGTCAGTTTTCGCGTTAGGGTCGAACATGGACATATTCTGAAAAATACGTTCCATCTCCACTGACGTTGTCTCCTGAAATTAGTCTATTTGTATGATTGATGAAGAGGAGTACAAATGTTATCAAAATATATTGGCATTATTAAGGAGCTGTAGGATCACTTCTGTCCTACTCATTATTCCAGTCCTGCTATCGCTTTGAATAGGGCGTTTTACGGCTAAAGTGAAGCAAATTGCAATGTTGTGGAAGGCATCATCACTGGAATGAAGACCTCCTGCTATTTTTTCGACTACCGAAGTGACGCCGATCATTTTTTACGGAGTCGGCGTTTGAATCCAATCATCCGAAGATCGTCGGTCGTACCATTTTTACTGGATAGCGTCATAAGAGGATTTACAAAGAAAAAAGTGTACTATTACCAGCAATAATTGATCCCAATCCCTAATGGTTAGTGCTTTGTATTTACATGTAGGCTCGGCGTTCTTGATTACGATAGAAGTGGTCTCGTCATCTATTGATCTTCTGCGAGTTTTAGTTAGGTTTGTGCATCGTACCAATTCCAGACACGTTGTGCTGATATTTGGTATGTCGTTTCTCATTGCAGGTGCCATGTCGTGTGCATATAAAGACACATAGGAGGCTTCCGATTCTCGCTAGTGGAAGAGCGAGAATAGGCAGCCGAGGTCCTGGTTCCGTGCTGGATGCTGCTTGTGTCCACTCGAATTCCTAGGAGCCGAACGTGACCGGTTCTACTCCCTCGCCCCGTGTGCTCTCCTCTCCAAGGCTGTCCTCTCACGTCCACTTGGCAGGTTTTGTACATGTTGTGCCTGATAGTTACGATGTTGCCTATCATGATTTTGCAGGCGAATGTCATGTCGTCAGCATAGAGCAGGCAAATAAGGAGCTAACGCTCCTGCTGTTCAAAGTGGGCGAAAGGGAACAGGGCCATAGCACTGCTCAACATTCTGCATTTTTAGTTTTTTAAAGGTCTTTTTCCTTTATCGATGTGGTGATTTGAAAATGCCTCTGAGAGCGATAGAGTTAAGATGCTTGATGCCTCAACGAGGAAGCGAAGAATATGACGACAGCACAACTTAACGTGAACCAAGCTAGAAACCTTGTTCTCCATTTTTGGAACTTTGACTTTGAATGGCATAACATAGCTATTTTATGTATAACTAGAAAGAGCACCGATACAAACTCGAGGTTAAATTCATTCGAGTCTACGTAATGCGACCAGGAGGAAGCCACGTGCTGTTCTGTCTAGGAGGTACAAGTGATAAAAATAACTGGAAGATGACTAAATTTTCTACGAAGTTGGCGGCGCGATGGCGTCAGGCGAAGCGGATGTGATGTGACTGGGCAATATGAATTGTGCTAATGACACGGTAAGCATGTAGAAGTAATCCCAAGCGCATTCATCGCGCCTATCAACTGGAAAAAGCCTCTGCACGAGATGCATGAGATTAGTCACTATTGCTAAATTATTCCATAGAAATTCGCTTTATAATCAAAAATCGTTAACGTCGAAAGAAAAACGTTGAGGGTTATTTGGAGGGAAATGCTGCCTTTTTTATAGCTATAATTAACTTGGAGTACAAGAAAAGTCGAGAAATACTGAAGAACGACGTAAGGAATTGCAAGGCTCCTTTTTTGTTCAGCAAACAGGTAATAAAGTATTTGTGCCTGCCCACTTGCGTAGGACCATGCGTACCGATTATTTCAAAGGCTGGGTGCGTCTGTAATGCAGACCAAGCAACGCAGATGACGACGCCCTCACGGAAAACCAATAATTGGTAGTTCATAGTGAGAACAGATAGCTGATATATGATTGTTGTAACTAGCAACGTAAATTAATTAATAGAATACAACTGGGGTTACATCCAATGAAGGTTAGGGACATGTTGTTCGAGTTCCTGCCACCTCCAGAAATTCGAACTTTTGCGGGAGAAGATCTCTGGAGTTTATGAACTGTTTCCATCGCTTTTACAACCACTCCGCTGCTTTCTTACCCTTGAAAAATTAGATTACTTGAATTCAATACTAAATGAAAGTCAATAAAGCGATCAAACTGCCTTGTAGATATTGACTGTCGCACTCCCCCCCCCTTATTGGGTGAGTCTTACAACTGCAATCGATTAACCATTTCGGTGGCAGAAACCGCCACATTTTGTGGAGGTGCCTTCATTTATGCTGCTTGATATGCACTGCAGACGAGCCTGTCCAACATGAAATGCTCGAAATGCTGCGAGTTTTCAACCTATGTTCGCTACGCTACCCAAATAGAACATAAAGTAGGCTCTTCATTTTTGGAAGTCTATGGATCAAACTGCCTTGTACATACGCTGGCACGCGAAAATGATTGTGTAGTCAAGCTGCTTTCCCTACGATTTCAAAAGAAAATGGAATGCGTGGTGCACCTCAAAAGGAACTATCAACACAACATTTTATATCACTTGTTTATTCAAGGCTTGACAACCTCACTCGAGGATCTCCGCACAAACTAACAACGCATTCCCAGCTGGGACGTGCGTAAAGATTGCTTGCAAGAGCAGTCGTTTTATTTGGCTAGATGACGTCGTTACGGGTTGTAAGATACGGGTGCACTACGCAAGTGGTACTAGGAGTAGTCAGAAGTTGACCAGGAGATAGACATCGCGTTGAATCCTTTTATAAGAGCAGGAGGCGTCATACTACTACTGAAAACCATTTCGGAGACTACTTGCGTTCACGGAGAGAAACGCCGGTTACCCTTCGTCTCAATGTGTTAACCCAGAGAATACTTATGTGATATTTTGGCTCACAAGGGGTTAGTCATCAAAAAGCTGAGATGGTGACGATAAAGCTACTACATTGTAGCCTACCGTAATCCGAGTCGCCACACCAGTAAGCGAATGGCAATGAAAAAAGTGGAGTTTCAGCGAGCTAATCTTTACTTGACGGCATATGACTCATGAAGAAAAGCTGTAGCAACTCAAATCACTCGCATCCATGCAGGTTCCCACGGCGACAGGAACCAAAGATTACAGCCGTCATTGAGATAACTATTCTGCTGAATATCACTAAAAGCTAAGACTTCAAATCCTCAGTGAGAGATTCAATAAAAGAGGTGAAACACGGCGGGTGTGGTTTTGGAAAAGCCAGTCGTATATTGCTAGTGAGGGATATGCATAAGCCGAGACTCCGATAGAAAGTGGCAGCACTTTTCATCCTTCACCCTACAAGTTATACATACTACCTAATGGAAAGCCATACATTTTGTTCACAAGGACACGTACAAATTCGAACTTATAGTGTTTGTAAGACATAATGACTCTTATCGCGTCCACTTATAAATCAAGTAGTCAAGTGCTGCTTCCAGATTGAGTTCTTCCAGCGTACCGACAGGTGAAGCTTGAGTCCGTCCCGACCGAACGGGTTCAATCTGACATTCGATTCATGGTCTGCATGCACTTTATGTTCAAGGAACAGAAGATGAGAATTTCCACTCTGGAATCGGATTCGAATTTTGCCCTGGGTTAGGATATCGCACTTGGTTGATATATCTTCCCGATAACTGGCATCAGTTTTACCAACAATGCCGGTCTGTACCAAGACTACAGTGGGGAGGGGAGGGAGGTTGGGCTAAAAAACCACTCTCCATCCACATTCAAACAGATATTATAATCACACTCAGCTGAATTAAAAGCGAATGCTCCCAATCGATAAAAGGGCACACTCGAATTTATCGCAAAACTTCATAATGGCCTTCTACCCCGACGACATCACAAGAATTTGCCTGAGGAACATGGTGCACGGGGCAGATTCAACGAGGTTATCGACGGCGTGGATCATTCCGACGTTAGCCGAAATGGTGCGTGGAAGGGATCTTGCATATTCAGAGCTGCTGCCTCTAGAATGCTAAATATCACTTATTCTACTTGAAGGTAAGGTCCGGGTTTGCCATTGAAATTAAGGTTTTCCTCGAGAAAATTGCAGCGGTACGCAAGCGGATAGCACTCCACAGTACACAACAAAATACACAACTTCCCTGACTTGACAAAGACAAGGGGCCAAGGACATGGGATGCAGCATTGGCCCCGCCCAGCACCATGAAGCCCGTCAGCAAATCATGGCTCTTTCGCTTTGCTATTACTGAAGAGAGGTTTTTTGGCCATGTAGACGGTTTCATCCCGTTTTTTCCATAGCTGGCGCTACACTTCACATCTCTGCTATCTCATACGGTTACAATTGCACACCAACTCGATTCCGGACTTTGCCTTCAAGAAATTATGTGGCTGAGCCACTATGGTACGCCTCCTGAGGTCGACTGGCAGATGACGTCAAATTCTAAAGACGATGAGGGCAGTAAGCAAGTGCCTGATTCTGCATGGGGGAACTTCTACAGAATATTGTACCGTACAAATTCCGTCAACGGCAGCACCCTGTGCGATGAAAAGGTTGGTTAGTGCGGCATGAGCGAAATGACTTTTTTGCCTATCCCCCGCCCCGCTCCTGTATAATTCTTTCCAAGACACAACCCCGAATAAACTTATGGGCTTTCGAGATCGAATAGTGCTAATCTGACCCTCCGACCAGATACGAAAGCTTGGAGATCGTTTCTCGAAGTCACAGGAAATACTGGTCTTCATTCGGAAGAAGAAAAGAAAAAGAAAAAAACTGCACATGGCTTTTTTGGATTTGGAGAAAGCCTTCGACCGAATACCCCGTCAACTCATATGGGAGGCGCTCCGATACCAACAAATACCAGAAGCACTCGTTAAAGCTGTGCAGCTAACCTACCTTAATTCCTCAACTGCCATCCGAACACCTGTAGGTGATACCTCACAGTTCCCAGTCACAGTTGGAGTTCATCAAGGGTCGGCCCTCTCACCATTACTCTTCATTCTATGTATGGACTATGCGTCGAGGAAAATTCGGAAAAAAGAGCCCCCTCCCGATGACGCTTGGGTAGCGCTTGATCATATCTCGCTATACGCTATAATGAATACTCGCACTGGATCGCGCAAATGAAATTAAGAAGACTGTCCAGTGACTAAAACAGCTAAAGACCATC